AAGTCAACGACCACCCCAAGTCGACCTCACCAGGTCGACCACACCCCTGGTCGACCAGCCCCAGGTCGACGTCACTCCCTGTCGACCAGTTCCACGTCGACCAGCACTCCTGGTCGACCAGCTCCATGTCGACCAGCGCAGTTGTCAGCCGGGCACCCAAGTCGGCTACCCGAAGTCGGCGTCACCAAGTTGACGCCCTACTACTCGACGCCCAGCTGCTCGGCGTCCTGAGTCGTGGTCGACGTTGGCCCCTCCTCCGTCGACTACCAGGTCAGGTCGACCACCAGGTCGACATCACGCCTGGTCGACCAACTACCAGGTCGACCAGCAATACTGTCAGCCGACCACCCAAGTCGGCTGCCCCAAGTTGGCGTCACCAAGTCGACGCCCTCTGCAGGTCGACTTCCCAGGTCGACCTCCCCGTGCAGTGGCCTCCGTGCAGGTCGACCTCCTCGTCAACCAGCTCGCCCACTGCTGCAGGTCGGCTGCTCCCCTCACACCCGACCACGAAGTCGGCTCCGCCCAAGCGAGGACGGCTCCCCTCACACACAACTCCCGTTGACAAACATAAGATGGTACCTTATGGTTTATCTGACCGCTGGTTCGCGGTGGCGGTGACGCTTAAATCGGCATCGGCGAGCGGACATGGCCCTGGGCTATGGAGGCTTCAAGCATCCCAGGCAGGAGGAGAAGGAGCGAAAAATATTATATCGGCGGTACTGGACGCACAGGCAGGCCACCCGGACCAGAGCTTGGAAAGGATGCTGGCGAACCTGCGTGCAAGTATGAGAGCTCACGTAGCGGAAGAAAGGAAAAGGGTGAAGACGACCATGACGCAGCTGGAAAAGAAAGTAGAGAATCTTATGTGGAGGGTGATGAGCGATCCATCGGCGTAGGACATTTATGAGGAGCTGGTAAAGAGTGAGGTGGCCCTCAAGCTGTACCAAGATAGCAACAAGGAGCGCGTACAGGTCATGACGGGGCTACTGGCAGAGCTGGTGGGGGAGGCACCGGCGGGCTTCGTGTCGGGGCTGGTCAAGTCGAGGAAGGCAAAAACGGAGATCAGTGAACTGGTCTTAAAGGGGGCGCAAGGGAGGTGTTGATGGCGGCATCGGATTACTTCCGGAAGGCCTATGCGGTCTCACCGTCACAAACCGTCAAAGAGCCATGGCCGATCGAGGAGGGGAGGCGGCTACAGGAGAATGACCGGTTGCAGCTGGGAAAAGAATGGTAGGAGCAGGAGGTGAAAGAAGCGCTTAAGGGGCTCCCGGCAGGAAAAGCTCCTGGCCAGGACGGCTTGCCAAAGGAGTTTTTTTAACACAACTGGGAGCTCCTCGGGCCGGCGGTGCTGAGGGAGGTCAAGGCCTTCGAGAAGTCGGCGGTGCTCTCCGAATCCTTCACGACCGCGGTTACCATTTTACTGCACAAGAAGGGGGACAGGGAGTCTCTAAGCAACTATAGACCGATTACCCTGCTGAGTTTTTTCTACAAACTACTGGCGAAGGTACTCGCGAACAGGATTAAGCAAGCCTTGCCAAAGGTGAGGCGAACCAGTTCGGCTTCCTCCCGGGAAGGAGCCTGGCCGATGCAGTTTCCCTGGTCGCGGATGTGATTGACGCCGCAACAGAGGAGGACGAGGACTGGATGCTACTTTTGGTTGACTTCAAGAACGCCTATGACTCGGTGTCTCGTGAGTATCTGTTCACGACACTGGAGTACATGGGCTTTCCAGAAACTTTTATGTTGTGGGTAAAAGGACTTCACGAAGGAGCGGCTCGATTTTCTCCGCTAGAGCCTGGATTTCGTTGAAATTTAAGATATCGCGAATGATTTCTTGCGAGATTTCTGGCTTCAAGCCTCCGACGTAGCGATCCACTCGCTCCGCTTCGTGCATGTAGCCGACCTGCTCACACAGCGCGAGAAAACTGCTGGTGTAATCTTGGACCGACCCAAGCTGTCGCCAAGTGCGCAACTGCCGAAATCGAAGCTGCGATCGGCTCGAAGCGCGCCCGTAGCCCTGCACACCACGCGTCCCACGTGCTGTATTGGGCGGTTTCAGAGAATGAACTCCAGGTTACGGTTGGCCCGCGGGCCTTTCCTCTTGCGACAGTGGCTCGTAGGCGCTCGGCGACGTCACAATGACTCGTCACCAGTCCATGGCGGGGCCCCGCAGCAATGACACGGCGTACCGAATATTCGCTGCATCCGACGTGACGTAGTTCGCGTAAAAAAACGTGCTCATCGTGAAGATCCACAATTGAACCGTCGGACCTCCACGCTGGCCAGGATCGAAGCAAGGCGGGCGCTGCGGCTTGAGTGGCATCGGCTCACCAATGTCGTTGTTGCCGGCAGGTGCGTTGATGCTGACGTGACGACGAGCCTCGCGTGGTACATTTACGCCCGGTGCGGTCCTGGTTCTCTCCACCGCTGATTGCGCCTGAGCGCTGTCCCACGCTGTCGTGCTGCGATGGTGTTCCCGATGAGATGACAATCGGCTCGTCCGATTGTGCAGGTGCATTTGCTGGTACTTGTGCTGGTGTGTTTGCCGTAGATTGCTGTAGTGCGGAGTCGCGTTCCGCCGTGAGCGTCGCAATTTCGAGCGACGACTCCTCAAGTTGACGCAGGAGTTCGTCGAGGCGCTCTTGCGTCAGCGTCGTGAGCTGGAATTCAGCCATGGCAGGGGTGTCGGGCGAGCTCAGCGAGAGCCTCAGTCGTGGCTGAGTGTGCTTACCAGAGAGCACACGAGCAGCGGTGGTTTGTCGCTGAGGGACGTCTACCCCCTCCAAAAATTGAGATAATGTGGGAAGCGAAGGTGTGGGTGCGGTCCGAGAAAGGACCGTAGCTCTGAATACCAAGTGTTACGAGTGCAATTGACTGATCGAACGAAGATTGCACTATCGAAGCAAGAATACAATGAGCGAAGGGATGAGCGAACAATATATAGCGAAGCCTAGTGTGGTAACGGTAATGCGCGAGAATGTGGTGCGCGACGGGCCTGGCGCCGAGGTAGGGAATTGTCGAGGTGGAGGACCGGAGCACGGGTTACCAATCGTGTGTACTCTAGGGTGCTGTAGGCGGGAACAGTCATGTGTACGAAATAAGGAAAAGGAAATTTCCTTAGTAACACACGAAATACAAATCGGTTCGTGCAAGCATAGCGCGGCGAAACGATTCTGTTACACCCTCGCTCGAAACTTGGTTGTCGAATTCGAAGTCACAAGCTTCGCTGTGCTACAGTCCAGACTCCCCGAGTGGCCGCTAATGGAATCGGTGGGTGCTGCGCAGTCACAGTCGGTGAGGGAAACGGCTAGGCATGACAAATGAATGGTGGGGTGGAGAGCTGATGAGTTCGCCCAAGAGATAGGTAGGTGGTCCCGCGGTGGCATGACAACGCCAGGGCACCACACCACAATCCAGCGATTCTTCGATTCTCGTCGCGACCCTTTTTGGGTCGGAGAACCGAGAGCCAGTGCTCCACTCCACCTCCCCTGCTTGCCACGCCTCCCGTTCCCGCGCCTCCAGAAACATGCGTGCCGACATTACTCGCGTAGAATACGACGACGATTAGGACAGATAACGAGAGTTGCGTCGCTTAGCGACGGTGGCTGATAAGCCGACCCACTACTACTAGTAGCCCTCAGCGCACCAACTCGCTCACCGTCTCGACTCGCAAATTGCGAGCAGGCACACTGCATGCAGTCTCCTCGTTTCAGCCGTGCGAGTCGTCAGAAATGGAAAACTTCTTGTCTCGTACTCACCGCCAGCAGCGACGCGATCTCGTCGACGCATCACCGTCCGCGCATCCGTCGCTCGCTGCGGCCGTGGCAGACGTTGGGGAGGGCACCCGCTGTTCGCTCAAACACCTCACAGTTATGAGCATTCCGAGGGCTATAAAGGTCCACGGCTCGCCCCTTCATGGACATCCCACCCAAGTGCTTCGAGTCTTCACCCTTAGATCCCATCGGCAATCGGGCAACTCAGCAACTCACGGTGAATCGAAATCAGCGGCTTTTCGCAGTTGATTGGAAAATGGCGTCAACGAAGATCCTTGCGGTTCTGATTATTGTTCTCGTGGCCACCTCATGTGAGTCCGCTCCCACTCCTCGTGCTTCGTCTCTTGCTTTCCATCTCTCGCTCCCACGCCTCTTACTCCACGCGCCCCACTCGTCACAATAAGCTATGCTCCCGTCCGTTTTTGTTTCTGAAACGGTTCGTATTAACGAACAAGCGTGCCGTCGTGTGCATGAGCAGGTGCTTTTGCTGCTCCTGGTAACGGCAAGGGGAAAAGCGGAAACGGAAAGGGAGGCGGCAAGGGAAACGGTGGCGGAAAAGGCAACGGGAAGGGCGGAAACGGAAAGGGGGGCGGGAATGGTGGCGGAATTCTGGGCGCGCTGACTGGCGGGAATTCGACGGGCGGATGGGGCGCGGGCGGCATATTCTCCGGCCTCACCTCGCTCTTTGGCAACGGCAGCACTCCGAGCGCCCTGGGGGGCATCTTTGGGCGCAAGGGCGGGAATGGGAAGGGCCAGGGGAATGGCGGAGGCGAGGGGGACGGTACGGAGAGTCTTGGCCCTGCAGGCGCGAGTGAGGCAGTGATTGGGACGATGGGGGTCGGCAACGGCAAGGGGCAGGGCAACGGGCAGGGGCAGGGGCAGGGCAAGGGAAAGGGGAATGGCGGAGGTAAGGGGAAGGGGAAGGGCAAGGGCAAGGAGAATGGCGGAGGTAAGGGGAAGGGAAAGGGCAAGGGCCAGGGGAACGGGCAGGGGAACGGGCAGGGGAACAGTACAAACAGTGGTAGCCCCGCAGGCGTGGCAACAACTGCCAGCTCGCGAGTGATGGGGATGATGGGGGTAGGCAACGGCAAGGGGCAGGGCAATGGGCAGGGGCAGGGGAATGGGCAGGGGCGGGGCAACGGGCAGGGACAGGGCAATGGGAAGGGGAATGGGAGGGAGCTTGGGTGGGGTAAGCGCGGGAAGAGTGCGGGTGGCGTGTTGGCGCAGCTGAGGGGCAGCAGTGTGGCGGCTGATGCGCTGACAGCCCCTGGCGATGCCAACGCCACTGGCGTCCTCGAAATCACCCTCCTCCCGTGAGTCCTCTCAATCTTGACTGCTTCATTGATTTTAAAGTATCCTTTTGCGTCGCTGTCTCCCCCTGTCTGCCTCGCTCATAGCGTCCCCTCCCCCACTATCCTTCCCCCCTTCCCCCTCCTCCATCTGCCCTTTGTGTCGGTGGGCAGGAACGGCACGGACTACGACGTGGCCTTCACGGCGCGCATCTCCCTCTCGACTGACGCCGCCCCCACGGCGCTCACTCTCAACAGCGGCAGCGCTGCCACCACCGGCCTGATTCTGCTGGACTTTTCCACGGCCACGGGCGCGGACGGCGCGTCCCCCCCTGCGTGGACCAGCGCGGCCTCGGCCTCCCCTGGCAGCGGCCCCATGGGGCGCGCGTGGGGCCGCCTGCAGCGCGCAGTGGGGCGCTCTGCGCGCACGGCAGGGCTGCACACCTTCACTCTCACGGCCGTGTGGCGCGCCGCTGCCACCGTGGCTGCTGCGGACGGCGTGCAGACGGTGAAGGACGTGGCGCTGGCGGTTGTGGCGCAGCCCACCGCCTTCTATGCTCTCGTCGCTTCCCCCGGGTTTGAGGCGGGTGCTGCTAGGGGGCAGTTCCAGAAGGCGCCCAAAGGATGGGCGTTCGGCCTCAGGAACTAAAGACTCATTCGAATGGGAGTCCGGGGAGATTATGAAGGATGTAGATGTTTGTGGGCTGCACACATTAGCACTGCTCTACTGAGATGGTGCAGTCTCTGCCTTAGTTGAGCCTCAGACAGAGTCTGTTGTTAGAGGGCCTACTCCTGGGATGCGGATGAGGATGTGTGGCTGTCTGGACGTTACACCTCTTTGCTTCATTCATAGCAGGTCATAACTTGAGGGCAGGCTCTAGAACAACAGGTTTTCAGTTGTTATGTTTGACACCTTGCATTTACTCAAATATTACAGTTCATATGGCAATCTCAGCAATCAATGACGCTGTTCTATGCAGCAAATGAATTTATGGTGGGCCCTAAAAAAACGGTCCTAGGTAGGAGTGGACCTGCTCTGAAACCATGTCAACAGACTAAGCGAGAAGTGGATGAACTAGAAACTGTCAAAACATATTGTTCTGTTCATTGCACTCTAGGTTGTGTAGGATTCTTTCCTTAGAGGGTACAACATTTCATTTCACCCTCGATAGTCTTGTATCCCTCTCCCTTACCTAATCGACATCCTCACCTAGCTACTGATTCTAACAGAAACAAGGTGGGTACAAGTACTAACCCTAATTGGGTTGTACCCCATATGGGCTACCCCACTACAGCCTACACAACACACAACATAACAGTTTGACAACGAAGTCGTGCGCAGGCTGGACGGTTGCAGGTACTGTCAGCTGCAGTGGAGTTAGCGGATGTCGACTGTGACAGCGGAAGAACGGGGTCTCTCCTGTTGCGGCATGCTTCGCAATGTTGTAGGCGAACATCGGCAAGTGCAAGTCCCACTTGCTAATGTCGTCCTTGCACGCTGCACGCAAGAGTTGTTCCACAATCTGGTTCAGACACTCTGTCTGCCCATCGGTCTGAGGATGATATGCAGATGACATCGCAATGCGTGTCCCCATGAGTGACATAAGTTCTCTCCAGAACTTGCTAGTGAATTTGGGGTCCCTGTCGGATATGAGCGTTGTCGGGATCCCGTGCTGTGAGATGATGTATTTGACGAGCAGCTGTGCCGTTTCCTCTGTGCGTGCCCATCTTCGAGAATTTGTCGATGACGACCAGGATGGTGTCATGCCCCGCTTTGGTAGGTGGTAAACCGGTGATGAAGTCCAAGCTGACCACTTGCAAGGCTGTTCTGGGACGCGCAGTGGCTGAAGAAGTCCTGCTTTTTTCTGCTTGCTGCTCTTCATCCGCAGGTATGTGTCACACAAAGTGACGAACTTCTGCACGTCCTCTGCCATGCGAGGCCAGCGGCTAAGTGTTAGTTGCAGCTTCCTTGCGGTTACGGTATTAACTAAGCTGTGACTTGCTCCTCCGTCAATAAAAATCTTCACTGCTACCCCCTGTATTTTTCCATGAATCAGTATTAGGTCGGGCCGGCGCAAAATGTCGATTTTCTCCGCTAGCGCCATGATTTTGTTGAAATTTGAGACCCCGCGAAGGATTTCTTGCGAGATTTCCGGCTTCAAGCCGCCGACGTAGCGATCCACTCGATCCGCTTCGTGCATGTAGCCAACCTGCTCACACAGCGCGAGAAAACCGTTGGTGTAATCTTGGACCGACCCAAGCTGTCGCCAAGTGCGCAACTTCTGGCGTGCCGAAATCGAAGCCGCGATCGGCTCGAAGCGCGCCGGTAGCCCTGCGCACCACGCGTCCCACGTGCTGTATTGGGCGGTTTGAGAGAATGAACTTCAGGTTACGGCTGGCCCGCGGGCCTTTCCTCTTGCGACAGTGGCTCGTAGGCGCTCGGCGACGTCACAATGAATCGCCACCAGCCCATGGCGGGGCACCGCAGCAATGACACGGCGTACCGAATCTTCGCTGCATCCGACGTGACGTAGTTTGCGTAAAAAAACACATTCATCGTGAAAATCCACGATTAAACCGTCGAACCTCCACGCTGGCTAGCATCGAAGACGGGCGTCTTAAAATATCCTAGGAGAGTATAGTCGAGAGAATTGTGTTGTGGTTCAAAGTCGAGGGAGATACAAAGGTTACCTAGAATGGGTTGTACCCTATAAGGGCAACTCAATGTAGCCTAGAAACCTAACAATGTATATAAACATTATCTGACACACCCCCATAAGCTAAGTGAGGTGCATCCAAGAACTAGCAAGGGAAACAACGGTCACAAGACCAGCCAAGAGCAAGCAACAAAACAAAGCTCAGGGTGGCGCTCAGAGTCACCACACACTCCGAGCACAAACAAGAGGCCACAAGGCCAGTTCAAGAGTTCACTAGGATATATAGAAACAAAGCAAGCAAAGCAAACAGCGACGGGTCGGCAGAAGAAGGACGGAACCCAAGGTCACGAAGCGTGGAGCGAAAAGTGTCGTGCCATTCACGGGTTGACTGACGGAGACCGTAGACTGGTCGTCTCGGGCTCCACTGGGTCCCAGGTGGGAAGGTGTCAGTGAAGCCAGGAGGACGCCGCAACCAGATCTCCTCGTGTAGGCGGCCCTGGAGAAACGCAGTGGAGAAGTCGAGAGAGTGCAGCTCGTAGTCTCGCTGTACTGCTACGTGAAGTAACACCCGAAGAGTTGTCATCTTCGGGGTCGGGGCAAAGGTCTGGAAGAAGTCAACTCCCTCACGCTGACTGAAACCCCTAGCCACGTAGCGCGCCTTGAACACAGGCGGTAATCCAGGCGGTCGCTTCACCTTGAAGAGCCACATGCCATCGACAACGTTCGCCCTGGGAGGGGGAACTACGTCGACGTACGTGCCTGTGGATCTCCAAGACGCAAACTCTGAGTCCATAGCCGCTTTCCACTGAGAGGCCCACTCCCCTGAAACTACCTCACGGTACGTGCAAGGAGTCGGTATGTCAAGGGCGTCGGGGTCTCCCTCAGGGGATAGCAGCATGGCACAGAGAGAGGGAGAAGCGGCTGCCAAGTACTCCAGCTCAGACTGTCTGTCCTCTAGGACGTCACAGCCAAGGGCAAACTCACCCCCGACGGACGGAGGACGGGAAGGTGGAGCAGGCACCACACGCGTGGTGAAGTCAAGGCGACTGGTGGCAGCAAACTCAGCGACAGCGGCAGTGAGAGCCGAGACAGACGACGGAGAGAAACGAGAGTCGGTGGCAAGAGTGGCGAGAACACGGGAGACAACAGGGCGAGCAGCACGGTAGTAGTCAGAGATAGGAGTAGGGGAGACAGGAAGAGAGGACGGAGGAGGAGACGAGAGAACGGACACGGGTGAAGAACGACGAAGAGAAGAACAAAAGAGGGCAGTGCGGAGGTCGGTAACGGGGGACGAGGGACGAGCACGCGGAGGACAGGGACGGACACGGTAGTGTGGGACAATAGGAGGAGGAGACGGTGACCGAGGAGAAGACCAGACTGCCGGAGAGTCGTCAGGAGGAGGAAACGTAGGTCCAAAGGCAGGGGGAGACTGAGAGCGGACAGGAGAAGAAGAGGGAAGACCAAGGGCCCGCAGGCCACTCACTGGCGGGAACAACTGCCGCTCCAGAGGGAGCCGCTGCAGCTCCTGCTGCTGCTGCTGCTGCTGCTGCTGCTGCTGCCGCTGCTGCTCCTCCTGCTGCTGCTGCTGCTCTTGCTGCTCGAGCAGGTCCAACTGCCGCAGCTCCTGCCTCTCCCTCTCCAACTTCTCCTGCTCCTCACGCGCACGCCGGCGGGCTGCCTGGAGACGAGTGTCGTGGCGGTGGGGAGGCTGAGCGGGCACCGCAAAAGTAGTGTCTCCAACTCCATTCTCCTCAGTACTAGCACCCCAATTGCCTGTGTCTCCAGAGGTAGCACCACCAGTGTCAGTGCCTCCAGCTCCAGCACCCCCTGAACTAGCACCTCCAGTGCCAGCACCTCCTGCACCAGCACCCCCAGAACTGGCACCCCCAGTGCCAGCACCTCCAACTCCAGCACCTCCAGAACTAGCACCACCTGTGCCAGCACCTCCAGCTCCAGCACCCCCCAAACTAGGACCTCCAGCTCCAGCACCCCGCGAACGAGCACCCCCAGACCGAGCATCTCCGGTGTAAGCACCTCCAGCTCCAACACCCCCAGAGTCCATAGTAACCTGTCACGGAAGTGCCAAAGGCTGCTGAGGGGACTGTGAGGAGGACTGCGGGGAGGGAGACGCTACCTGACGCGCGACCGATGGGAGAGGGGTAGCGTGAGACACACCTGACGTGGCAGGACCAGGGGGGGGCGGGGGTACCGGAGGAGCGGGAGCAGGAGGAGGAGAGGGTGCGAGGAAGAGAGGAGGAGGGAGGACCGGGAGACCTTGACAGGGGTACCGGGCATAGTAGGACACTGACTCGTCAAACCGGGCGTCACGGGAGTCTAGGAACTGGTGGAGGGGCGGGTGGTAAAAAGCGTAGTCGGGAGAGTCCATCGGGAAACCAAGGAAGACACAGGGGATGGCGCGAGCCGAGAGCTTGCCTGCAGAGGTGTCGCGGACAAGCGCAAGGCAGCCCCAGACACGAAAGACCGACCCAACACCAGGGGACCCGGTCCAAAGACTGGTCGGTGAAGCCTCTGGCCGTGAGGCACGCGGCTGGAGGTTCAGCTGGTGGGCGGCGTAGCGAACTGCGTAGGGCCACAGAAAATGGGGCGCACGGGCATGGATCATGGACGTGCGGGCGATGTCCTTGACCAAGCCAATGCGGCGCTCAACAACCCCATTCTGCTGTGGGGACTCCGGAAGCGTCCAGGACTGTGAGATACCCTGTTCGCCGCAGAATCCGCGAAGAATGCCGGAGCGAAACTCGCCCCCACGGTCGGAGTGGAGACAGGAGACACGACGACCACGAGTGCCCTCAGTGGCCAGAAGCCACCGGATCAGCGTAGAAGTCACCTCGGACTTCTTCGCGAGAGGAAACACCGTGGTGTACCTGGAGTAGTTGTCGACGACCACAAGAAAGTAGCGCTCCCTCTCAGGTCCCTGCGTAGGGGCAGGGCCCCAGACGTCCAAGTGGAGAGTCTGGAAGGGAGCAGTGGT